TAGTATTATCGCTATTGGTCTCTGACAGGGATATCGATGTATAACGGTTAGTATTATCGCTATTGATCTCTGACAGGGATATTGATGTATCATCGGTTAGTCTTATCACTATTGACTGATTTCTGACAGGGATATCGATGTATAATCGGTTAGTATTATCGCTATTGATTGATTTCTGACAGGGATATCGATGTATAATCGGTTAGTATTATGGCTATTGATCTCTGACAGGGATATTGATGTATAATCGGTTAGTATTATCACTATTGACTGATTTCTGACAGGGATATCGATGTATAATCGGTTAGTATTATCGCTATTGATCTCTGACAGGGATATCGATGTATAATCGGTTAGTATTATCACTATTGATTGATTTCTGACAGGGATATCGATGTATAATCATTTAGTATTATCGCTATTGATCTCTGACAGGGATATCGATGTATAATCGGTTAGTATTATCGCTATTGATCTCTGACAGGGATATCGATGTATAATCGGTTAGTATTACCACTATTGATCTCTGACAGGGATATCGATGTATAATCGGTTAGTATTATCGCTATTGATCTCTGACAGGGATATCAATGTATAATCGGTTAGTATTATCACTATTGATTGATTTCTGACAGGGATATCGATGTATAATCGGTTAGTATTATCGCTATTGATTGATTTCTGACAGGGATATCGATGTATAATCGGTTAGTATTATCGCTATTGATCTCTGACAGGGATATCGATGTATAATTGGTTAGTATTATCACTATTGATTGATTTCTGACAGGGATATCGATGTATAATCGGTTAGTATTATCGCTATTGATTTCTGACAGGGATATCGATGCATAATCGGTTAGTATTATCGCTATTGATTGATCTCTGACAGGGATGTCGATGTATAATTGGTTAGTATTATCGCTATTGATCTCTGACAGGGATATCGATGTATAATTGGTTAGTATTATCGCTATTGATCTCTGACAGGGACATCGATGTATAATTGGTTAGTATTATCGCTATTGATCTCTGACAGGGATATCGATGTATAATCCGTTAGTATTATCGCTATTGATCTCTGACAGGGATATCGATGTATAATCGGTTAGTATTATCACTATTGATTGATTTCTGACAGGGATATCGATGAATAATCGGTTAGTATTATGGCTATTGATCTCTGACAGGGATATCGATGTATAATCGGTTAGTATTATCGCTATTGATTGATTTCTGACAGGGATATCGATGTATAATCGGTTAGTATTATGGATATTGATCTCTGACAGGGATATCGATGTATAATCGGTTAGTATTATCACTATTGACTGATTTCTGACAGGGATATCGATGTATAATCGGTTAGTATTATCGCTTTTGATCTCTGACAGGGATATCGATGTATAATCGGTTAGTATTATTACAATTGATTGATTTTTGACAGGGATATCGATGTATAATCGGTTAGTATTATCGCTATTGATTGATTTCTGACAGGGATATCGATGTATAATCGGTTAGTATTATCGCTATTGATCTCTGACAGGGATATCGATGTATAATCTGTTAGAATTAGCGCTATTGGTCTCTGACAGGGATATCAATGTATAATCGGTTAGTATTAGCGCTATTGATCTCTGACAGGGATATCGATGTATAATCGGTTAGTATTATCACTATTGATCTCTGACAGGGATATCGATGTATAATCGGTTAGTATTATCACTATTGACTGATTTCTGACAGGGATATCGATGTATAATCGGTTAGTATTATCGCTATTGATCTCTGACAGGGATATTGATGTATAATCGGTTAGTATTATCACAATTGATTGATTTCTGACAGGGATATCGATGTATAATCGGTTAGTATTATCGCTATTGATCTCTGACAGGGATATCGATGTATAATCGGTTAGTATTATCACTATTGATCTCTGACAGGGATATCGCTGTATAATCGGTTAGTATTATCACTATTGATCTCTGACAGGGATATCGATGTATAACGGTTATTATTATCGCTATTGATCTCTGACAGGGATATTGATGTATAATCGGTTAGTCGTCACTATTGACTGATTTCTGACAGGGATATCGATGTATAAACGGTTAGTATTATCGCTATTGATCTCTGACAGGGATATCGATGTATAATCGGTTAGTATTATCGCTATTGATTGATTTCTGACAGGGATATCGATGTATAATCGGTATTATGGCTATTGATCTCTGACAGGGATATCGATGTATAATCGGTTAGTATTATCACTATTGACTGATTTCTGACAGGGATATCGATGTATAATCGGTTAGTATTATCGCTATTGATCTCTGACAGGGATATCGATGTATAATCGGTTAGTATTATCGCTATTGATCTCTGACAGGGATATCGATGTATAATCTGTTAGTATTAGCGCTATTGGTCTCTGACAGGGATATCGATGTATAATCGGTTAGTATTATCACTATTGGTCTCTAACAGGGATATCGATGTATAACGGTTAGTATTATCGCTATTGATCTCTGACAGGGATATTGATGTATCATCGGTTAGTCTTATCACTATTGACTGATTTCTGACAGGGATATCGATGTATAATCGGTTAGTATTATCGCTATTGGTCTCTGACAGGGATATCGATGTATAACGGTTAGTATTATCGCTATTGATCTCTGACAGGGATATTGATGTATCATCGGTTAGTCTTATCACTATTGACTGATTTCTGACAGGGATATCGATGTATAAACGGTTAGTATTATCGCTATTGATCTCTGACAGGGATATCGATGTATAATCGGTTAGTATTATGGCTATTGATCTCTGACAGGGATATTGATGTATAATCGGTTAGTATTATCACTATTGACTGATTTCTGACAGGGATATCGATGTATAATCGGTTAGTATTATCGCTATTGATCTCTGACAGGGATATCGATGTATAATCGGTTAGTATTATCACTATTGATTGATTTCTGACAGGGATATCGATGTATAATCGGTTAGTATTATCGCTATTGATCTCTGACAGGGATATCGGCGTATAATCGGTTAGTATTATCGCCATTGATCTCGACAGGATATCGCATGTATAACGGTTAGCATACTCACTCATTGATTCCCGACAGGATATCGATGTATAATCGTTAGTATTATCGCCATTGATCTCGACAGGGATAATAACGTATAATCATTAGTATTATCACCATTGATTGATTTCGACAGGGATATCGATGCATAATCGGTTAGTATTATCGCCATTGACTTCGACAGGATATCGGCGTATAATTGGTTAGTATTATCACTATTGATTGATTTCTGACAGGGATATCGATGTATAATCGGTTAGTATTATCGCTATTGATTTCTGACAGGGATATCGATGTATAATCGGTTAGTATTATCACTATTGATTGATCTCTGACAGGGATGTCGATGTATAATTGGTTAGTATTATCGCTATTGATCTCTGACAGGGATATCGATGTATAATTGGTTAGTATTATCGCTATTGATCTCTGACAGGGATATCGATGTATAATTGGTTAGTATTATCGCTATTGATCTCTGACAGGGATATCGATGTATAATCCGTTAGTATTATCGCTATTGATCTCTGACAGGGATATCGATGTATAATCGGTTAGTATTATCGGTATTGATTGATTTCTGACGGATATCGATGTATAATCGGTTAGGATTATCGCTATTGATCTCTGACAGGGATATTGATGTATAATCGGTTAGTATTAGCGCTATTGGTCTCTGACAGGGATATCGATGTATAATCGGTTAGTATTATCGCTATTGATCTCTGACAGGGATATCGATGTATAATCGGTTAGTATTATCACTATTGACTGATTTCTGACAGGGATATCGATGTATAATCGGTTAGTATTATCGCTTTTGATCTCTGACAGGGATATCGATGTATAATCGGTTAGTATTATTACAATTGATTGATTTTTGACAGGGATATCGATGTATAATCGGTTAGTATTATCGCTATTGATTGATTTCTGACAGGGATATCGATGTATAATCGGTTAATATTATCGCTATTGATCTCTGACAGGGATATCGATGTATAATCTGTTAGTATTAGCGCTATTGGTCTCTGACAGGGATATCAATGTATAATCGGTTAGTATTAGCGCTATTGATCTCTGACAGGGATATCGATGTATAATCGGTTAGTATTATCACTATTGATCTCTGACAGGGATATCGATGTATAATCGGTTAGTATTATCACTATTGACTGATTTCTGACAGGGATATCGATGTATAATCGGTTAGTATTATCGCTATTGATCTCTGACAGGGATATTGATGTATAATCGGTTAGTATTATCACAATTGATTGATTTCTGACAGGGATATCGATGTATAATCGGTTAGTATTATCGCTATTGATCTCTGACAGGGATATCGATGTATAATCGGTTAGTATTATCACTATTGATCTCTGACAGGGATATCGATGTATAATCGGTTAGTATTATCACTATTGATCTCTGACAGGGATATCGATGTATAACGGTTATTATTATCGCTATTGATCTCTGACAGGGATATTGATGTATAATCGGTTAGTCATCACTATTGACTGATTTCTGACAGGGATATCGATGTATAAACGGTTAGTATTATCGCTATTGATCTCTGACAGGGATATCGATGTATAATCGGTTAGTATTATCGCTATTGATTGATTTCTGACAGGGATATCGATGTATAATCGGTATTATGGCTATTGATCTCTGACAGGGATATCGATGTATAATCGGTTAGTATTATCACTATTGACTGATTTCTGACAGGGATATCGATGTATAATCGGTTAGTATTATCGCTATTGATCTCTGACAGGGATATCGATGTATAATCGGTTAGTATT